ACATTCTCAACAAAGTAACGATATGACTCCCAATATTAATTGAAATGCTTTTATAGATTTAGAAAATGTTTTTATTGATTTAAAAAAATAGTACGCTATTATTTATTTAAAATGACATGCATCCGCTAAGAGAAATAGTCCGTTGTTACTGTTTGAACGTAGCAACGGCAGGAACTGCTTGACAGCGGTCTGTCTGTTCTGGATTAACAACGTGTCACGTGTTCTGAATTGACCAATCAGAATCGAGTATTAAACACTATCTGACCATGAATTGAGTTTGATCCTAAAATGGCAGGGAAGAAATGCACAGCTAAGCGAAAATATGAAGACGAACATAGGACGTTTTTAGTAGAGTGGGAGAGTTCATATTTTTTTATCGAACGCCATTGCAAGCCATTTTGCCTTATATGCCAGACAGCATTAACCCATTTCAAGGCTTCAAATCTTCAGCGCCATTTCACCTCACTCCATGCTAACATCGACCATGACTTCCCAAAAGGTACGGAACTTCGCAAGCAGAAGATAAACACCTTGAAAAGTCAGGCAGAAAAGCAGACACAGTTTTTCAAAAAAATAACGAAGCACTCGGAGACCGTAACACTTGCATCTTATCAAGTTGCTTGGAACATAGCACAAGCTAAAAAGCCGTACAATGAAGGGGAGTTTGTTCAAAAATGCCTCAGTGACGTGGTTGAAATCTTGTCTCCAGAAAACAAAAAACTGAAACAAGCGGTATCAGACGTCCAACTGTCCCGCCACACTGTTGAACGCAGAATATCGGACATTAGCACCGCCATTGAAGCGCAGTTACACTCTGATCTTCAAACATGTGAGTTTTTCAGTGTGGCATTGGATGAGTGACATACAAGACAAGCCTCAGTTGGCAATATTTGCACGATCAGTCTCAAAGGATTGTGTTATAAAAGAAGAACTCCTTGATATTGTGCCATTAAAAGACAGAACCCGTGGCATCGATGTAAAAGAAACAATGATAAATGTGTTTGTGAAAGCAAATGTGCCCAAGCAGAAACTAACTGCAATAGCCACGGATGGAGCGCCATCAATGGTCGGATCTGTGAACGGGCTTGTGGGGCTGTGCAAAGCTGACAACACATTTCCCGAATTTTGGAATTTCCACTGCATCATTCACCGGGAGCAACTTGTGTCCAAATCACTGAATTTAGACAACGTCATGAAGCCTGTGATGGAAATCGTAAACTACATCCGCACGCATGCTCTTAACCACAGGCAATTTAAGAATCTCATCGCTGAACTCGACCAAGGGCTTCCAGGAGACCTGCCGCTGCACTGCACTGTGAGGTGGCTTTCTAAAGGCAAAGTGCTGTCTTGCTTCTTTGAGCTGTTGGATGCTGTGAAACTGTTCATGGAACAGAAGGACGAGGATTATCCGGAGCTCTCAGACCCCAAGTGGATTATGGATCTGGCCTTTTTGGTCGACATGCTGTGTCATCTGGACAGACTGAACCTGGATCTGCAGGGAAAGTTAAAAATGCTGCCTGACTTAGTGCAAAGTGTATTTGCGTTTGTTAACAAACTGAAACTGTTTAAGACACATCTTCAAAAGGGAGAATTAGCGCATTTCCCCTCTCTGCTAAAAGCAAGCACACAAGCCACCGGTGCCACCCGGAAAAAGCAAACAGCCCGTTATGCAATATTGATTGAAACCCTGCAGGAAAACTTTGCGACCCGGTTCCATGATCTACATGTGAAAAGGCCACAGATTACGTTCCTCGTTGATCCTTTTAATGCTGAGACGGACTGTTTGAAAGCCCCGCTAGTCAAGGACGAGGCGGTGGCCGAGTTGGAGATGATCGAACTTTCAGAGGATGACCGACTGAAACCTGTTCTGAGGGAAGGGACCCTTGAGTTCTGGAAAACTGTGCCGATCGAAAAATACCCAAATGTCAAACGGGCTGCGCTCAAGCTACTTTCAATGTTTGGGTCAACATACGTCTGTGAGTCTGTGTTTTCTACCCTGAAACATGTGAAATCCAAGCATCGATCTGTTCTGACTGACACACATGTGAGAGAATTGCTTCGAGTGGCCACAACGGAATACAAGCCAGATTTGAGGAGGATTGTTCAAAGCAAGGAATGTCAGAAGTCTCACTAATTTAAAGTAAGATAACAAACCTTTTCAATTTTGTTTACTGAGAGTTTGTGTGTGAGTGCACACAATGTTCATTGTTATGTTGTTATGTTAACTGGCCTCTGAATACTGGTAGGAGAGGTTTAATTCAATTTCTGTCAATATTATGGTGTGTGTCATTTACAATAAATCTGTCTGAGCAGAGCTGTGTGTGTGTGTGTGTGTGTGTGTGTGTGTGTGTGTGTGTGTGTGTGTGTGTGTGTGTGTGTGTGTGTGTGTGTGTGTGTGGCCTAGCATTACTATACTTGTGGGGACCTAAATCTGTTGACACAGTCACGTGTGGGGACTCGCCTCCCTTATGGGGACAAATTGGAAGTCCCCATAAGGGGAATCATTAATTTTAGGGTGAAGACTTGATTAGGGTTAGTGTAAGGTTAAGGGTTAGGCATGTGTTGGTTATGGTTAGGGTTAGGATAAGTCTCCAGGAAATGCATGTAAGTCAATGTAATGTCCCCTGAAGTGATGTATACAGTGTGTGTGTGTGTGTGTGTGTGTGTGTGTGTGTGTGTGTGTGTGTGTGTGGGTGTGTGTGTGTGTGTGTGTGTGTGTGTGTGTGAAGTTTTATATTTTCATTTTATCTGTGAGAGAGAGAAGGGAGGAAGAAAGTGAAGGAGCACAGAGAAAGGCTGAGAACAAAAGAGAGAATGAGGGAGGGGGGGTGCACGTGCATCTGTGACTGTGTTTGATGTGGCTCTTTGCAGTAACATAGTCAAAATGTTGGCTCTTAACCTCTGACTGGTTGGCCACCCCGGCCCTATCCGATAATGATCCAATGCAGAGGCAATAATTAAGCAATAGCCCACGAAAGGCCGTGGTATATGGTCATTATATCACAGTTAAGGGGCGTGGTTCGGCCCGACGCGAAGCAGCAGTGTGGCAATATGAAAGAAAAATACACACTCTAATTGAAATAGTTTTTAATTAGTAAATAGTGATGTTCAAAATAAAATAGTCCCTCCGTTGCCTTCTGCACAAAACATAGTGCGAGGTGGTTGCTATGCAACAACACTAACAGCTATAGCGAACATATTAGACAGAGAGGGTTGATCGATTATTTGGCTATTTATTTACATGAATGTGTACAGTATGTTGCCGTTTATTGTGCAGCCACTGAAAAACTGTCCAGCATCAGTAGAATGGCTTACGAAGTTACTTGTATAGGTTGAGGTTGTTCTAGGCTGTTGCTTGGCGAGAACATTGCTCCACTTTCTCCGGTCCCCGAGATTCGGCTTCCGGTAGCTCTGGAGAGAGCTTTCGCACCTGTGGCCACTAACGGTCATAATGTCTTTGTTTCAAGACTTTGTTTCAGAAAGCTTTTGAATGGTGGTACTTTTCCAGTTGGTACCTGCTCTTCACGTAGCTCTGCATGTCTTCGTTTAGGTGCTTTTTTTTCTGGAGATAGGCACTGCTCAATCCACTCCTCCATAGTAAGGCCACCCGGAGGTCGAAGTTAACCTTAAATGTTTCCATCTTAAGCTTTGTTAGTTAGTTAGTTAGTTTCGTAACGGACGTAACGTAACAGTTGTAACGGTTGTAGCTTTTCTCAGACGCGGAGGGATACATGACTTGTGAAAAGTAACTACAATTCTACCCGTGATATACGCTCATTATATCACAGCTAAGAACCAATCAGATTGCTTGATTTGACTTGTCCGTTTTATAATGTCATATAATACATACGTTTATATTAAATATTTACATATATTTTCATATAGTCTTGAAGTTACAACCGGCCCTTTGAGTGCAACCAAAATGCTGATGTGGCCCGTGATGAAATTGAGTTTGATACCCCTGCCATAGACTAAGTATCAACAATGTATCACAACACTTCTTAACAGTCTCTAGCTCCTGATGTTGCAAACTGTACTTTAGTGAGTATTTTGCCTCTTAGAATCTATGAAACAAGGAGGAGTAACTGTGTACTAAATGTATACTGTATGGTGTGCGGCCAGGGGTGGTAGGAGTTCCTCTACATGATGAGCGTCTGCTGCAGTGTTGGAACCAGTCTCTGCAGAGGAGCTAGCGTAGCTGAAATGCTAATAGGCTGATCTGATTTGAATGGAGACTGGCAACAACAGGAGGCTGTGAAGGCGGTGGCTGCATCACGGGAGGACTCTGATGCTGCTGAACCAGACTGGGAGTGTCCTCTCTGCCTCCAGCATGAGCAACACTAGCCATCCACACACACACACACACACACACACACACACACACACACACACACACACACACACACACACACACACGCACACATGCACACACACACACACACACGCACACATGCACACACACACACACACACACACACACACACAACAGTCTGTGTGATTGTGGCATCGCTACATCCCTGTTTGCTCACCAGCTGCGTCTCTTACCCCATCCTCTTACTTAATGCTGCATTGCCTCAGCTGATGAAGGAACAGCCCTCCTGCCAGACTTTCCATTCAATCAACCCAAGCTATTGTTCTTGCGTGACGACTCTGACGAGATACAGTAGCCGTGCGACTGCATGTGTTCTCGTGGCATTTCGCCTCCTGCAGCAGGGGATCTCTGCATTAGCGCACACTCCACTCTCCCTCCCATCCCCCCTTTCCTCCTCTCTCTCCTGCCCCTCCTCTCCATGTGCAGACAAGGCAGCGTGCTGTGTGTGTGTGTGTGTGTGTGTGTGTGCATGCGCAGGGTGGATGCTGAAAGCTGCAAGGTGACTGAGGGAATGGAGAAGGATACAGAGCTCTGACGAGATGCAGTGCCCTCTTCCAGAACATCCTCTCCTCTTCACATCCCTCCATTTCTCTCTGTTCTCTTCACCTCTTACTCTTTCTCCTTCCAGACTGAGGTGGACCTCCTGCCCTGCTTGCAGTGCCTCTTTCTCAGCTGCAACATCATCACCAGGTAAGCTCTCGTACCGCTTAACTCCCTCCTCCCCGCAGATGGTGTCCGGACATTTCCACGTCCACTCCCTCGGCTCTTGGCGGGGGGCCTGGCCAACACGCTGCAGGCAGGCAGGACACACACAAACACACACACTAAACACACTGGGTACAGTTACTGTAACCTAGAAAACACCAACCTAGATATGTTCTGTATTGTTAGGAATAAGCCTGCTATTATCTAAGAAATGGGTGTGCCTATAAAGTTATTTAAAGCCGGCTAAGAGAGAGGAGCTCACTTTCTTTGAGATTTAATGACACAGTTGAAGGTTGAGTGGATTAAGTAGCAGCATCGCTAGGTGAGAGGTGCATGTAGGATGAATGAGAGGTGTCTTTTCTTGCCTGCTTTATGCACTTTTGCCCATATCTGGGTTTTGCTTTTAAGTGACGTGTTTCTCCCTCTCTGCGCTCAGAGATGTTAACTTGTTAAAGCAACGTAGCGGCCCCACTAAATAACGCTGCCTCGAGGAGGGGCCTGTACTGTACGTGGGATTCAGGATAGGACAGTCTTTATTATCCTCCCTGACCACAGTCACCTTGTGCTGTGATACATCTGACCTGACACCTCTCAAACAGCCCTGCTCTTATTGTGTGTAGCTCAGAGACGATCATGACATAGAAAGAGGCAGCAGACAGTTTGTATGCGCAGATTTATTACATTACAGAGAGACATTGTAAGTAAATAATAATTATTATTATTATGAAGTAATTTATATGTGTTCACTTCTTCTCCTTATTGTTGTTATACTATTATGACCTTATGATAAATGCGTCTTTAAATCAATTACTGTTTTGAATGCATGCTCACCGTAGCATATGAGAAACCTGCTGTGTGTACGTTTTGCATTTGTCCAATGCTGATAGGAGAACAGCTGTGCTCTGTTGCTAGGTAGTGGCACAGAGCTCACTTGGTGCAGTCAGGTTGCCCAGGACAGGATGATGGAGCAAAATCCACATCCTCATGTTTCTTTTCCTTATCTAAATCTGACTTTACCTGCTTAAATTAAATACTTTAAGAATCCAGAGTAAGACAGATGTCAAGATTGTTTTCTTCTTCTATGGACCTTAGGGACACGCGGATGTTGACTTGTTATTACTGCAACTATTATTTAGTGGTTTTATAAAAGTAATTATACCCAAGTGGTCACCGCGATAATTAATGCAACAATTATGATGCACCTTCAGGATTTTTCAAAAACATATCCCTATGGTGCATTAGAATATTATATAATTATTCAAAGCACTCATGGGAATTAATAAAACATAACATTTACCTAAGTTAGTGTGTGTGTTATAGTCTAACATCTACAGTAACATCTATTGCACTTTAGGTAGCTCTTGTATCTTCTCTTGCACTTTACATGTCGTTGCTGCTATATTGTATTACCATGTCATAAATACTTGTACGCTGCTCTTGCTCTTTTGCACTTTTTGCCTAACATGTATTTTGCTTTTGCTATGTTTGTCAAATGTACATTTCTTAAATGTTTTTATGTGAGGGACTGCGGATGGAAATGAGCTCAAAGCTAAATCTGGCACTGTTACGCTTGACACATTTTAATGTTTTAAGTGTTCATTACCCTGCATTGTCCCTGCCAAATAAACGATTAAACAAATAATTAAATCAAATAAGTATGTTCTCTGACTGGTTCAGATATTGCAAATTAAGGAAGTGAATTGGGAAATGATCATACAGTTCTTTATTTAATAGTTCATCAGGGGTTCATCATCTGGCTTGGCTCAGGTACAGTGCAGAGGGTTTATACGTAGTTCCAGGCGTATGATTCATCAACGCTATTATCACAAATTAGCCGTCTCCTCAGCGTCACTTGGCTTGGTTGTGGTTTTCCATGTCTTCCTTTGCCACGGGGTGATTTCATCAGAGTAGTGAATATGTTTCCCTTCACTGCCCCCTGTGTAATGCCAGGCTGCCAGAGAGCCGGCTAAATTACTAGTTTTTCATGTTGTGTTTCATTCTGTTAATAAAGCGTAGATTAAAGAATTCAACCACAGATACAGTGGGGGGTGGTTGTCTTGTTGGATTTAAGGGATAGTTCAGATTACTTAAAGTAGCACTTTTCTGAAGTAAGTGAATTAGCTACAGTAGATGGAGGTAGACACGCCCCCCAGTTTAAAGGGGAACTCACGCAGCGTCAGAAAATAAAACCCTCTCTCTTTTCCTCCGTACCTAAATCTCTAAAAACGGGGGAACAAGGGAGCTGATCCAGATTTGCGTCCGATATGACGTAATATCTGAAATGTGGACCCACGGCCCAATCAGAAACGTTGATATCAGAAACAATGCCCGACTGTTTTGGACGTAATATGGTCGGTGTTTACATTAGCATCGCTAACACTCAGAGCTAACCTGTACTGGAGAGCATGTGTGTGAAGAAGCAGGAAGTAAAAAGGAACTCACCTTGTGGTATAACCGGCAAGAGAGAAAGCCTTTGAGCTCCATACTGTTTCAGAAAGAATCCTTGATAATCCATGATATGGCGTTTCATCACGGCAGCATTTAGTTTAGACAGTAGCTGCCGGGTCCCGCATGAGCTCAGCCCCCTCCTTTTTTATTATCAATATATATATATATTTTAAAGCTTCATACCCCAAATCAGCACTTTAGAAACAGGAAGTGAAATAGAGGGATATGAGGCGTGGCTAGAATGGGTGATCTGTTTGGTATTTTGAGCAAAACACTTCATAGACATGTTTTTTATATATTTTTATATATCTGAGACCTATGCTATTGCCTACAAATAGCATGTTAGGTCCACTTTAAGTTTCAAATGTTCATATAACTAAATCAATACCAGTTGAAGTAAACACTTTTTACAATATTTGAACTGCTTTATCATGCCATCAGACCGCCCTGATCAAGAGTGAACTGAAACTCTCATATTTGATCTTGTTACAGCCACCAGACCCCATTCACAACAAAAGTAATCTTACCTGGCAGACCACAGGAGTTGTTGGTCTACTGCTGTCTTGATGGGGTAGTTATTTCATGTTTTTGTGTGACTTTGGTTAGTTTGGATTCACCAATTCACCACACACAAACAAAACAATACAGGCGGCAGTAGACCAGCAACTGCTTTGTTTTTCAAAAGATAAAAATACTCTTTTTATAAATGGAGACTGGTGAATGATAGCAGCTCTAGTTCCTTGAAATGGGGGACCCTGATGTAAACAAGACGAAAGTCTTTCTCTGGTCTGCATACCCTTAACTATTGTATGTTTTGAGCTGTACTGTACTGTACCCAATATACAAGCTGTTAATAAACTTTTCAATCAATCAATCAATGTGAGAAAGGGCTGTCTGGGAAAAGTTGTCAAAATATTGTAATTATTGCGACACTTTAACTGATATTGATTTGTTTTAGAGATATGCTTTTCTTTAGACCCTATCCACAGTAGTTCCTTTCGTTTTTACCATGCAGTAACTACTGTCTGTTTTTCTAAACTGGAGGTGTAACTGCCGCTATATCCGGAGAATAAGGATAGGATAAGTAGAGTACCCTAATGCAACCCCACTTTAAAACAATCCAAAATATCCCTTGAAGAAAGGGATGACTCATGTTTCCTAAAACATAGTTACCTCCCCATACATTTTGAACACAAATACCTGTACTTTCTACTTCTTACATGTTGAACACAAATACCTGTACTTTCTACTTCTTACATGTTGAACACAAATACCTGTACTTTCTACTTCTTACATGTTGAACTCAAATACCTGTACTTTCTACTTCTTACATGTTGAACACAAATACATGTACTTTCTACTTCTTACATGTTGAACACAAATACCTGTACTTTCTACTTCTTACATGTTGAACACAAATACCTGTACTTTCTACTTCTTACATGTTGAACACAAATACCTGTACTTTCTACTTCTTACATGTTGAACTCAAATACCTGTACTTTCTACTTCTTACATGTTGAACACAAATACCTGTACTTTCTACTTCTTACATGTTGAACACAAATACCTGTACTTTCTACTTCTTACATGTTGAACTCAAATACCTGTACTTTCTACTTCTTACATGTTGAACACAAATACATGTACTTTCTACTTCTTACATGTTGAACACAAATACCTGTACTTTCTACTTCTTACATGTTGAACACAAATACCTGTACTTTCTACTTCTTACATGTTGAACACAAATACATGTACTTTCTACTTCTTACATGTTGAACTCAAATACCTGTACTTTCTACTTCTTACATGTTGAACTCAAATACCTGTACTTTCTACTTCTTACATGTTGAACACAAATACCTGTACTTTCTACTTCTTACATGTTGAACACAAATACCTGTACTTTCTACTTCTTACATGTTGAACACAAATACCTGTACTTTCTACTTCTTACATGTTGAACACAAATACCTGTACTTTCTACTTCTTACATGTTGAACACAAATACCTGTACTTTCTACTTCTTACATGTTGAACTCAAATACCTGTACTTTCTACTTCTTACATGTTGAACACAAATACCTGTACTTTCTACTTCTTACATGTTGAACTCAAATACCTGTACTTTCTACTTCTTACATGTTGAACACAAATACCTGTACTTTCTACTTCTTACATGTTGAACTCAAATACCTGTACTTTCTACTTCTTACATGTTGAACTCAAATACCTGTACTTTCTACTTCTTACATGTTGAACTCAAATACCTGTACTTTCTACTTCTTACATGTTGAACTCAAATACCTGTACTTTCTACTTCTTACATGTTGAACTCAAATACCTGTACTTTCTACTTCTTACATGTTGAACACAAATACCTGTACTTTCTACTTCTTACATGTTGAACACAAATACCTGTACTTTCTACTTCTTACATGTTGAACACAAATACCTGTACTTTCTACTTCTTACATGTTGAACACAAATACCTGTACTTTCTACTTCTTACATGTTGAACACAAATACCTGTACTTTCTACTTCTCACATGTTGAACACAAATACCTGTACTTTCTACTTCTTACATGTTGAACACAAATACCTGTACTTTCTACTTCTTACATGTTGAACTCAAATACCTGTACTTTCTACTTCTCTCATTTTCCAAACAGCTGGTTCCTTTAGTCTGAATGTGTGTTTGATGCGTGATCATTATTCTTTAGAGTCATTGCGTGCCTATTGATTTGAACACGATCCGTGTATCCATCATTTCCTGGTCTTCTCTAAAGAAGAGGGACCAATGGAAACGTTGTCATGTTGCCGTTGTTCAGCATGGAAACATTCATTAGCTAACAATGACATTATTGTTCTATTAATATAAAGGGAGGTCAGGTACTCTTTAAAACAGCTGCTAGTTATGGGTACTTTTTACTGAAGTACATTTCAAAGCCCATACTTCTTTACTTTTAGTTGAGTAAAGAAGTTTAGTCAGTACTTCTACTTTTACCAGAGTATTTTTGAACCCGAGTATCTGTACTTCTACTTGAGTAGAGGATGTGTGTACTTTTGCCATCTCTGTGTGTTTGTATATCTTTGACTCTGGGTCTCATTCAAATAATTGTTTTGTTTTTGTGCAGTGTCGATCAGCTAGCCTGCCTCGGAGAGTCGCACTCCCTTTCTGAGCTCACCCTGGATGGGAATCCTGTAGCCCTGGAGACATGGTACAAGCAGGCCGTCCTGCGCTGTGTGCTTCATCTGAAACAGCTGGACATGAAGCGCATCACAGTAAGAACCCACTCTCTAACTGTGTGTGTGTGTGTGTGCGTGTGTGTGTGTGTGTGTGTGTGTGTGTGTGTGTGGGCTTACAAGTTCAAAAGTCCACTAGCCAAATTCGGCTAATTATATCTGAAAATGAGATTTTCTAAAATTAGTTTATTGTCCATTTTAAAAACTTATTATTTTATTTTCTTCAGCATCATCAATCATGATGAAATGGAAAGAGGGTGTATACTGTAGAGTTATGATGACCAACCTATGGTGGAATGTAAAGAAGCACATTTACTCAAGCATTGCACGTATTTTTATTTTTTGATACTTGATACTTTTACTGCACTACATTTAGACGCTGATGTCATTTTGAATCTACTAAATGTATCTGACAGATTTAGTTACTAAGCAGATTGATGACGTATACATAAGCTAATGAATAAACATTCAAATGTAAAAACACCCAACAGCAATATCCAAAATATTCAAATGAGCTCCACCTTTACTCGCTGTGATGAACCCATAAGGCACTTTTTAAATTGAGGTACCCGAGTCGATTTTAATGCCAATACTTTTGGACTTTTACTAAAGTAAGATTTTTTTATGCAGGAATTTCTAGTATACAATAAAATACTACTAAAAACTTCCACCACTGCCATTTTATAGCTACAATATAAATCTCTCAGAACCCATGCTTGTGCTGTATTTGTTCATAAGCCGTAATTGCATTACATATCTGATCACATGTTCAGCTAATGACCCTAACCTTAATGTCACAGTCTGTTACTGTACATCTTTAATGTGACCATGTCTTGAATAGAATATATCTTTATTGTCATCACAGTGTTTCCCCTTGGATGGAGCCATAGCAGCGGTGCTAAGGCACGCAGGCCTAGCAAAATGTGAGCACGGAGCACGTGGAATTGTTTTGTGTGCGTGCGAAGTGCGCCCCGCCAATATGTTTCTATGTGTCTGCCAGCACAAGAAATATCCATAACAAACAATCAAAATCAAATGTATGCAATTTAATTATTTTGATCTGCTTTATTTGGGGGTGGACCTCACATCCTCTAGGGGGGTCCGGGGGCATGCACCCACGGGGAGATTTTTTTTTTAAATGTTGAAGTTAAATGCATCAATCTGGTGCACTTTGAGAGCAACATGAATTTATGTATACAGCTCTCAACACTCATATGAAAGGGAGCTTTATACTTTTCAATGATCCAAACATCTTTAGAATATGATCACAACCAATAACAAATCATTTAAACTGGTTTACTCTTATCTTATGTTACCTAGTTAGCATTCTTTCTTTCTATTTATGCATATTTTACTAATCACTTCCCTTTTAAACTTTTTTTTTTTACTGTCCTATAGTACAGTGGTTCTCAAACTTTTTTCAATAATGTACCCCCTTCGGAAACATTTTTCAGCCAAGTACCCACTGATCAGCGCAAAAACTATTTGTTAGGGAAAAAATGCCTATATAAAGAGGTACAGTCCAGCGCTGCACCATCAGTGTCTGATTTATTAAAACAACAACATTGTAACTGAGAAACTTTTCTTTTTGTTACTGTCCTATAGTACACATTAGAATGATTTCTTACTTTATTTTTTACAACTATATTAAATAGATAAAGGTGTGCTCTCTCTAGCTCTCTCTCTGTCTCGCTCGCTCACAGAGGCTGTGTGCTCCTCCTTTATTAGTATAAAAGTGCTTCGTTAATAGTTCTAACGCTCGAAGTGGAGTCGAAAGAGATGAGTTTTCAGTCTGCGCCGGAAGGTGTGTAAGCTATCTGCTGTCCTGATTTCAATGGGGAGCTCATTCCACCATTTTGGAGCCAGGATAGCAAACCCACGTGTTCTTGCTGATGGGAACTTGGGACCCCCTCGCAGCGAGGGTGCAGCGAGCCGTTTTGGCTGATGCAGAGCGGAGTGCACGTGCTGGGGTGTACGGTTTAACCATGTCCTGGATGTACGAAGGGCCAGATCCATTCGCAGCCTGGACCAGAACCTGCGTCGCTTTCTGGGTCAGCTGGGGACGTATCCTCCTGATGTTGTAAAGCGTGTATCTGCAGCAGCGGGTTGTAGCAGCGATGTTTGCAGTGAAGGACAGGTTGTTATCTATGGTCACACCCAGATTCCTTGCAGTCTGAGTCGGGGAAACAACTGAGGTGCCGATGTTGATTGTTAGGTCAAGAGTGGGAGAATCTTTTCCCGGAAGGAAAAGCAGTTCAGTCTTGTCAAGGTTGAGCTTGAGGTGATGAGCAGACATCCACTGAGAGATGTCCGCGAGACAAGCAGAGATGCGTGCGACGACCTGGGTCTCTGAGCGGGGAAAGGACAGAATTAATTATAGGGGAAACACTGCATCATACAAAGTACAACAACATTTCTTTGGCAACTCTCACTGCAGTAAAAAAAAAAATAGATTCTTGATAATAAAAACGATGACGAAATGTATATTTAGTTTTCGTTGACGAGACGAGACGGGACTAAGGTGTTAATGGTGGACTATCGGACATTCAAAATGCAGGATAAGTGCAAGTGTCCATCTTGTCTGTCAAAATGCATCTTACGTTTCTAACTTGCAATATCATTATTTCTGCTCTCTTCACTCCAGAAAAGCGATCTCCCTGTGTCTCTCTCTGTGTGCGGGGGGGCGGGGCCTAACTCTCTCCCTCTCTCTCTGTGTGCCGGGGGCGGGGCCTAACAGACGCTGCAGCGGCGTGCACACAGATTTGTAAGAGTAGTACTGCTAAAAACCTTAACGATACCCGTCCCTAGATAAGTAAAGTGTTAAGAGAGTGAAATGTTGCTTTACGAATTTCAATACTTGATGCTGTCACATTGAGTCCAACTTCAGATAGCTGTATTTGCCTAACTGAATTAGTTTAAAGAGAGAAAACATTTTGACTAAAAGTTGACTAAAATCTAACCATTTTTCATCGACTAAAACGACAACAACCATTTCCGTCTAAAGACTAAATCAAAAATAGCTGCCAAAATGAATACTGGTCTACACGCGCCGGCATTTTTGAAAAAAACATCATTATGATTTTACAGTCCAAATCAAACCCTGAAAGGCGGTCTCCTATTCACGGTCAATGGGGCAAGCTCAGGGGCGGCGTGTACTGTAGGCTAGGGAAGGCTAAGCCTTCCCAAATATTTGTGTCACTGCATCCTGGTAAAATAAAAATATAATGTATAATATTTGTGTCTTTGACATTAGCGCTGCTATGCAGCCACCAGTAAACTGTACTACGAAGCCAGTTCAACAGACCCTGGATATGTTTGAGTAATCTTAACTAACCCTAACAAACGAGATCTCGCTAAACGGTCCTACGACGCTGATTATCAACTCGGTAAATCAAGCCAGGGTTTCTCTCTCCAGCTGAGAGCGCGTTCACGTGAAAGGGGCGGGGTTAGCTACATTTGACCAATCACAAACAGGGACAAGTGTACTGACAGCGCAACATCATACTTCATTAATGAAAAGTAATCTAATATTAGACAAATATGAACTTTAAACATCCATGACTTAAACAGATAATGCAGGATACAAGCCACATAGTTGCACCTGCAAGGTGAATACAGAACAACTGGTTAAAAAATAAATAAACTACTGAGTGTTTGAATGCGTAGGCTACATTAACAGGTTTATGATATCACTGCCCCATAGACACGAGGGGATCTGACTTTAATTATATTTGAGTTGAGTGTTTCGTCAACCTAATGTGTTGCTTAAAATAATACTTCTGCATACAGTATGTGACAATGTGAGTGTTGCACGGCCAGATACGGCTCGAGAAGCTGACTCAGATAAGGAAATATTGTGATATTATATGATCGATGATCTGATTGATGATGTGATATCAGTGTGATATGAATGATAAGTGCGACACGTCGGCGTCTTCTCTGCATACGGCAGTTTAAACTGTATCCTTTCTCCTGTAATATGACTTGATAGATTTAAACTCCGCACACAGAGCTCCGATTGGTCAGCAGGCGGTGCTTTCACTGAGTTGATCTCTTTTCTATAGACGCCGGGGGCGGGCAGCGTCAGGTAAAAAAAAAGTATTTAGCCTTCCCAAACCTGAGCCTCACGCGCCGCCTATGGGCAAGCTCCTGTAAATCTTTACGATGCAAAACCCGTCTTTGTTTTCGGACATTTCTTCAGCATTCATCATGTTCCCGGTCGCGTATTAAAGGGCATAAATGCATCAGTGACTTAACTATAATTATAAACCAAGAAATCTCAATACAATGAGTATTCTCAAGCATAAACATGAAGTCATTTTATTTGCACAGCATGCCAGCCAAGTGCTGCGGTGAAACCCCAGCATGCTTTTAGAAGCTGTCAAGCAGGGAGCACCCAGGTCTGAGCTTGCTCTTTAAGAGGAATCTGTAAGTTTCACACACCTTGCCCCCAGAACACATACTGCTGATTCTTTAGAACGCTCGTAACTCCTTTTCCAACTATTATCATGTTTTTACTTGATTTTTAAGGTCCTTAACCGGTTTGGCGAGTTTCAAAAATCCATCGTGTAATAAAAACCCCTCCAACACACTTCTGTCCTTAACTGTCAAATCTGAAAAACAGGCAGGGGGTTTCACTTCAAGAAGTCTACCTTGTTTGAGTTTTGATTTGTTGTAGACAGTCAGCCTAGGACACTTTTCCATCTTTTCAAACTGTGCCATGATGTTGCTGGAGGCAGACTGGGATGAAGCCACTGAAGATCTACATTCCACCCTCGAACCCTTCAACAACACTTGCCCCCAGTGCGAGTCAGATCAGATGATCAGAGATGAAATCTATGCCTGACTGATGGCAGGTCGGCTATTATTTATGAATGAAATCAGAATTAATACGATAAATGAGGAGATACAGTTCTACGTTTGATCTTTATGCTAAATTATTATCCACATTTCTTAGTTTCCTTTGGTATTAACCCTTGTGTTGTGTTCGAAAGCTGTTACCGTTCATGGTGTTCGCGGATCAATTTTGACCCATGACTTATCTCAGTCCAAAACACACACAAAAAATGATTATCATCCAATATTGTTTTAACTACATCATAACTAACTTATAATGCATTCATAACCGTACAATGCTGTTGTAATTTAATGTTATGGCCCAAAACACATTACACCACATATATGTGTATTCAGGTTCAAGTGTTATGGCGCATTTCCACTGCAACGGGGTAGCCCCGTTTAAGCGTCCCTAAGCGTCCTCGCTCAGGCCTCGGGCTGCCTCGCTGGCCGTCCGAGGCCGTGGCGCATTTCCATTACAGTTTAGGACCTGGGGTAGCAACGCAGTGTAGGCGGGGCGATCGGCTTTGTTTTTGTTCACATTTCGAGTTGTTCCGTCGAGCTCCCCGCTGGATGTTATCATCCGCAATGAGATGTAGGAACGTCGTCACCTCCTCGGTCGACCACGGTGTGCTTTTCTTATTAGACGTAGCCATTTTGTAGCTCCTCCGTTTACAAAATGCTGTTTATAAAAATGCTGCAAGTTTGCTTCTAAATATATATGCGATGCTAGGGATGAACTCGCGCGCGATCTTGTGACGATTCTCTCTGACCAATCAGCAGTCGAGAGTGTTGACATCACTAGTTCAGCCCTGGCCCTGGTCTGATAGAACCACGATTTTATGGGGCCGGAAAAAGAGGGAAAAAGTACCCGCTAGCCGGTTCTAGGCTATATGGAAAGGCCACCAAAAACTGGCCTGGCCGCTTGAGGACGGTTAAGGACGCTTAAACGGGGCTACCCGCTGCAGTGGAAATGCGCCATTAGTGTCCATATTCTTTGAGAAAGGTCGAGTTCCCGTGGGGGGAGGGGGGCAGAGGGAGGGGAGACCAGGTGCATGTTGCAAACAATTATTGTTACAGTGGCTGAAGGGGGTGGGGGAGGGGTGTCTAAAGTCAAAGATGAGTCTTGATTGGGCCAAATTTGACCCCGACTGACCTAAAACAATTCTTCTGGGTCTCCCCAGACCCCAACACCAAATGATACACTTTTTACCTTCGGACTTGGCAAAAATTGTCAAAATCAGTTCTGTAGTGTTTGTATAGCTGCTGTGGAGGATATCATGAAGCCTTGTTCCGATACAAAAAACTAGAGTGTAGTTATTATATAATTTTAACTTGAAACGGGTCACGGGAGACCCAAACACAACATAAGGGTTAAGTACGTAGAATTGTTTCAATTATTGGGAAAGCCAAAAAGAGAAACGTAATCCTCTACAGTTGGAACAGTAGGAAAGCTGTTATAGGTGGAATTGCAGTCATTATCATTTATTGACAATAAAACATATATTTCCACTCTGATTACATTATTTACTATAATTGGCAAAAAAAAGCTCCTATGCCAGTTCAGTTAATCAAAAATATATATTTCTGTACAGTTCTACATTTGATCTTTAGGCTAAATTATTATTCACATTTCTCAGTTTCCTTTTAACTTCTTAGAATTGTTTCAATTATTGAGAAAGCCACAAAGAGACTTTCACGCTGCCTTGTTAATGTTTTTTAGGGTTATATATCAAATGATATTGTGGTTGGCATATGTACTTGATATTTATTTTATCTTTCTGTTTTTCTTTTGTGAGTTTTTCTGTATTTGTATGATTTCAGCCCCTGCACTGGAACAAAATGCTGCTCCAAAATCAAGTAAAAGAATAATGAAAACAAGGTGTTTTCACTTGTAATAAATAAAACAATCTGCCAATAGAACAAGTAAACATTTGCTTGGTAGATTTTTTTAAATAAGACGGGATTTTTGTGATTAGCTGGTAAAACTAATGTTGAACTATATCTTACCAGGATCAGTAAATGTTGTGTTACAATATAATCCTGAAATGCTCAAAAGCTTTCAGTTTTCTGATGTTAGTTGTTGATTTTCCAATAAGAATTTTATTTTTTTTTTTTTTTTTTTAAATCAAGTAAAATGTATTTGTTAAAACAAGATGAACCATCTTTTACAAAAACCACAACAGCTTAAAAAACTTGTTTCATTTGAGATACAAAATAAGATGTTTTCAAGAGTCTTGAAGATGCAAGACCCTATTTCTCACTGCATTGTTACCTCTTCAGTTATTAGGTCTTATATTGAGTGTAAAGACAAATTGACTAGAAATTAGACGAATATACTTGGCAAGATTTCCATCCATCCATTACTTCATTGCGTTCTTACCTTCAAACTCTAAATATTTGTTTTTATTCATAATGTTGTTAGATTTTAGTGCTTTGAGCAAAAACAATGTCATTCATTTGATAACTCACAGGAGGGCTATTTTTTATTTTTAGGAGCTATGCTTTTTGCCCTCCCATTTCAACTCAGTTAGCTTGAACCTTGACTGCATATATAATTCTGAATTAGTTAAATAAAAACAACTCCAAAACAACTCTTATCTATACATTTCTGGAACTTAAATATGATTGACATGTTTTTTTTTGTATTAAACTGGAAATATTGTTGTTGACTGAAACCGTAACAACCAAATAATCAACCTAATAGACCATTAGAAGATCTTTTATTGCTATTACAGGTCCCTTTGCAATCATTAAGATATTGATCAATCCCATAGAACATCTGCTGCAATTTGCTCATTTCCCCCTTATGAGCTGTTGCTCTCCCAAAATGAGTTTACAGTAGCGACACACAGCATCTCAATCTGTCCCCCCCGGCTCCTGATGATTTTGCCACTATTGATCCGACAGAGGCATCGTCACAGACAGCTGAACACCCCCCTGGCTCTCGGCTGGCACACTCAGATTGTGTTGGCAGCATTGCATTCTGGGAGTTTCGGCTTTCCCAAACAGCTGTGCTTCGGTTGATCCGAGAGTGAAAATCAGACAGATAATCCTGTGACCGGTGTTCGAGTCTCTCCCATCCTTGTGGTTCCCCCCCTCTCCGCTGAATTATTCAAAACTCATGAATGGAGCGGCTCTCTGATCGCACAAGCTATCTCTTTCAGGACGAGGATCGGCGCATGGCTGGTGTACAGGCTCGAAAGGAGGAGGAGAGGAAGAGGGAGGGTCACAAGCAGACCATTCATAAGGTACCGCTCTCAACCCATCATGTTGTCTTTGTGTGCCTGCGTTTACAGTTTAGCAAGTGATCCTGACGAACTACTCTTGGAGAGTAGTAACAAGTGTCCTCTGAGCGAATAGCGTCCTTTGAATACAGTGAGGGGTTGTATTGTTAGTTATTGAAGATTAGTTGAAGCTGCGTATCATAGCTCTCTGAAACGACCCCGTGCTCTGCTGCGTATGAAATGTGATTAACAGAGTTTAATGCATCCAGCTGAATGTTACACATACTGTAGTTTGAATAGAATTGCGTTGCATATTAGAGTAGCTTTAAAAAGGCCATAATCATTTTAGGATCCAGATTATATTTACGATATGATAATACTTTATTGTCAGAACAAGTCTGACATTCTTCTTGCATCACAGTAGCACCATTTGCAACGTCAACAAGGACAAATATTCTAGACAAGAAACAAGGGAACAGACATTTAAAACAACATCACGATCACTCAAGAGAAACATGTTAAGACCCTCTATTCGAACTTAACTCTTTATTTCATCTGAGGACCGACTGGTGCACAGTTTAGTGTTTATTTGGACAATAATGAACTCTTTGTTCTCCTATTTGTTTTTTGTCCTATTTTTTATCCATCATTTGATGAAAAAGCTCAAAAATATTTACCGTGTTTTGTCTTAACGTATGTATTTGTTTTATCATTGAAGCTGTGTAGGACAATAAACAAACAAACATTTTGATTCAGACATAGATTTTTTTAAATATACACAGCTAACAGGGTCTGTCAATTAGTTATTAGCTTGATCTAAGATTTTAGTCTTATGCAACTGTTTTGCAGTAAACGTGTGTGTGTGTGTGTGTGTGTGTGTGTGTGTGTGTGTGGTGTGTGTGTGTGTGTGTTTGTGTGTGTGTGTGTGTGTGTGTGTGTGTGTGTGTGTGTGTGTGTGTGTGTGTGTGTGTGTGTGTGTGTGTGTGTGTGGTGTGTGTGTGTGTGTGTGTGTGTGTGTGTGTGTGTGTGTGTGTGTGTGTGTGTGTGTGTGTGTGTGTGTGTGTGTGTGTGTGTGTGTGTGTGTGTGTGTGTGTGTGTGTGTGTGTGTGTGTGTGTGTGTGTGTGTGTGTGTGTGTGTGTGTGTGTGTGTGTGCGTGCATGCAGTGGTACATATTGATGTGCCTCCTCGCTGCAGAGGTGTCTTCTGCTGAGAGATGGTCTTTGTGCAGGACTCATTGTCTCTCAGTAACCTAACTCCCGTTAATCCTGGCTGTTGAGAAAATATGTTATATTGAATGTCCTCGCCAAAGATACTGACTCACCCCAGCATCGGGGAGTGGCACATTCCAACCCTGAGCATATCGAAACTACAGCCTGTCCAGGAGAGAACAATCAAAAGAACGAATGAGCAGACATCTTCTCTCTTAAAGGGAGGGGATGGCACTCTTACTGCTGGATCTGCATTCAAATGCTGCAGTAACAAGAGCAAACACATTGGACTAACACATGCATATAGAATTTCAGATCTAACTTTAATGAGGTTATTAAGCCTGTGATCATTTAAGAGGGACAGAGTGGTTCCATTAGCTCTGTGTATGACCTCTGTGTTCTGCTCAAGAGAACTGTCACTTGAAACCTTCTCTGTGTGTGTGTGTGTGTGTGTGTGTGTGTGTGTGTGTGTGTGTGTGTGTGTGTGTGTGTGTGTGTGTGTGTGTGTGTGTGTGTGTGTGTGTGTGTGTGTGGTGTGTGTGTGTGTGTGTGTGTGTGGTGTGTGTGTGTGTGTGTGTGTGTGTGTGTGTGTTGTGTGTGTGTGTGTGTGTGTGTGTGTGTGTGTGTGTGTGTGTGTGTGTGTGTCATGTTCATGAAGGAGAAGCGGCGCCTGGCGATCCGTAATGCGGCGCAGCAGTGGGAGGGGGTCAGGGCCAGCCTGGAGCTGCCACCAACAAATGGTGCTAAAGAGGAAGTGAGTCCGGAGAACAGCCCCGCCCACAGCCCTGCGCAGACCAATGGCCTCGCACAGGAGCCGTCTCCAGATGAACCCAGGTAGAACATCAAAACATCTACCTGTAGTGCTATTTCTCAACCTTGAATGTGTTGGTGTGAGTTGCTGAGTGTTTGAGATATCAGGTGTAGAGATGTCCGTCTTCGCTCCAAGGTGAAGGAACTCATTGTCTTGTGTGTGATAAATACATTTGAAACACTCAACTGAAATGTGTCTTTCGAGAAATCATGGTTTCTAAACAGAAATGCCCAATTCTGGATCAATAAAGTATATCTTATCTTATCTAAAGGTAATACACAGACCTTGTTGTGAGGTTTTAGCAATTTCTTTCTACCAAACTACTTATCACAGTTTTTAAACCGGTTAATAATAGTTAACCTTGTCTTGCTGTGATCTCATCTGAGCGGTGTTTGAATGAAATAGCTATCTCTGTTCTGAGTTTGTTTGCTTTGTTTTGTTTCATTAGGCGGGTTAGCCCAGGTTCAGGACCAGAGCGACCGCCAATGGGAATGGAGAACCGACTCCGGACCAACAGCCGTCCAAACAGCCCACGGGATCCTAAGTAAGACAACAAAAGATTTGTTCTCTCTTCCCCTGAAGAGGATTCAGATCTGACTTGTTAGCGGTGACAGGCAGTGATTGACAGGTGGTTTCAATCATATGAACTGCAAAGTATTTTTAGCTCTAACATAAATAAATGATGTGTGTCCGGCACATTGACCTGCTTCATATCAAATGTTCATCCTGATCATCCTGGAAACAGATTTGATTCCTGCAACAGCTGCTACATCCAAGGTTCAAGGTTCTTTATTTGTCAAACGAACATAGCTACAGTGTAGTTATGTCGATGAAAATCTTAGGTCACAGGCTTCTCCAACAGAGCAACACAAAACACAGATAAACAGAAAAATATAGTGCAAGTAAATAGTAAATACAAGAAGAAAATTGTTTAAAAAAGTGAAATAGTGCAATAAGAGTCTATATTCAAGTCATTGAAATATGATATATTAGGTAAATAGATAAATCATTTTTAAGTAGCAGCCAGATGAATATTGTGGATGTTGTTTCAACAGTTCAGGTGTTTAACAGTCTTATAGCCTGTGGGATGAAACTGTCCCTGAGTCTGGTGGTTTTAGTCCGGATGCTGCGGTAGCGCCTGCCAGACGGCAGCAGACAGAGCAGTTTGTGGCTGGGGTGATGGGGGTCTTTTATAATCCTGAGGGCTTTCTTCCTGAGCCGCTGGGAGTAAAGATCCTCCGTGGACGGCAGCTCCGTCCTGGTGATGTTGTGTGCAGTTTTCACCACCCTCTGTAAAGCCTTACGATTGAGGGCGGTGCAGCTGCCGTACCAGGCCGTGATGCAGCCAGTCAGGATACTCTCTATGGTGCACCTGTAGAAGTGGCAGAGTATCCTGGAGTCCATGTTGAACCTCCTCAGCCTGCGGAGGAAGAAGAGCCGCTGTCCAACCCCCCATATTGAAATATTCTTTAAAACACATTTGAGTTAATCTAGGAGGTGTGTGTTTTGGCTGCTGCAGAGCTTTGTGAGCTCCCTGGTCAAATCAGTTGAGGACATACATCCTTAAGATCCACTGTTTATAACAAGCTAGGTTGAATGTGAGGACATATCACTCCTGCCCTGACTGTGACCCAGGTCTGGAGGAGTTATGAAAGTGAAGGCTGAGATTAAAGTGGCCATGCACCATAATTACATGTTTCCAACGGGGCTTTTACTGCAATGAAAATGTCTCGAAGCACAATCCCTGAATGGCAGCGGCTCTCCTTTACAGGGTCTATTATAACCTCAGTCATGTGGCCTAACAGGTTATGGTGAGGAGCTGGACTCACGCGATACCTCACTCCTTTGAGATGCGAGTTGTATTGCTTTGGCTTGTATTGAATGACAAAATACCAAGGGCCATTACAAACCCTGGCACCAGCAGTAACTAGAAAGAGAGAATATGTGACTAAAAAGAAAAAACGATGAATAACGCAATAATAAGAGATTGAGTTATTACCCAGAAATCCAATCGTGGTGTTGGTCACCGTGTGAGGAGGCCTTTGTACTATTCATACATTTGTTTAATAAAGAGATGTGCTGACACCCTGAACAGGTGGGTTTCCAGACAAAAGCATGATTTCTCCCCATGATGGTGGGAGGGTAAGGCAAGGCAAGGCAAGTTTATTTATATAGCACTTTTCAACACAAGGCAATTCAAAGTGCTTTACAAAAAATGAAAGAGATTAAGAAAATGGCATTTAAAATCAGTCATTAAAAAGAAAAGCTAATAAAATAAACATTAAAAGAAAAAAATACATGGCAGTCAATTAAACATTAAAAGAAAAAAAGTACATGGATAAAAGTTACAGTGCAGTCTAAGATATGAATAGTTCAATTAAAAGCAGCGACAAAAAGAAAAGTCTTCAGCCTGGATTTAAAAGTAGTCAGAGTTGCAGCGGACCTGCAGGTTTCTGGGAGTTTGTTCCAGATATTTGGAGCATAATAACTGAACGCTGCTTTACCATGTTTAGTTCTGACTCTGGGGACAGAAAGCTGACCAGTCCCTGAAGACCTGAGAGATCTGGATGGTTCATAATTTAGCAGGAGGTCAGAAATGTATTTTGGGCCTAAACCATTCAGTGCTTTATAAACCAGCAGCAGTATTTTGAAATCTATTCTTTGACACACAGGAAGCCAGTGTAAAGACTTCAGAACAGGAGTGATGTGATCCACTTTCTTAGTGTCAGTGAGGACTCGAGCAGCGGCGTTCTGAATTAGCTGCAGCTTTCTAATAGATTTTTTAGTGAGACCTGTGAAGACACCATTGCAGTAGTCCAGTCTACTGAAGATAAAAGCATGGACAAGTTTTTCCAAATCCTGCTGTGACATTAGTCTTTTAATCCTAGATATATTCTTTAGGTGATAGTAGGCTGATTTAGTAACAGTTTTAATGTGACTGTTGAAACTCAGGTCAGAGTCCATGACTACACCTAGATTTCTGGCTTTATCTGTTGTTTTGAACATTGCAGACTGAAGCTCAGCGCTAACTTTGATACGTTCTGCCTTGGCTCCAAAAACCATTACCTCAGTTTTATCTTTGTTTAATTGGAGAAAGTTCTGACACATCCAGTCATTGATTTGTTCAATGCACTTACTCAGTGTTTGAATTGGAGCATAGTCTCCTGGTGAAATTGTCACGTAAATGTGTGTGTCATCTGCATAGCTATGGTAACTTATTTTGTTGTTCTTCATTATCTGAGCCAGTGGTAGCATGTAGTCATTAAAGAGAAGAGGCCCCAAGATGGAGCCTTGAGGTACCCCACATGTCATATTTGTCAACTCAGATGTGTATTTACCTATAGAAACAAAGTTGTTTCTGTCCTTTAAGTAGGGTTCAAACCAATTTAGAACTGTTTCCGAAAGTCCCACCCAGTTTTCCAGTCGGTCGAGTAATATGTTGTGGTCAACAGTGTCAAACGCAGCACTAAGATCTAATAATACTAACACTGAAGTTCTGCTACTGTCTGTGTTTAAGTGGATGTCATTAAAGACCTTTACAAGAGCAGTCTCAGTGCTGTGGTTTGGACGAAAGCCTGACTGGAACACATCAAAACAGTTATTTAAATGCAAGAAATTACTCAACTGTTGAAAAACAACTTTTTCAATGATTTTACCTAGAAATGGGAGGTTTGATATGGGCCTGTAATTGTTCATTACTGAAGCATCTAGATTATTCTTTTTTAAGAGCGGTTTAATGACTGCAGTTTTCAGGGCCTGTGGAAAAATACCTGAGTGAAGAGATTTGTTTACTATATGAAGTAGATCTGAGGCCATGCAAGGCAAAACATCTTTGAAAAATCCTGTTGGAATAATATCAAGGCAGCAGGAGGAGGATTTCAGAAGTTGAATAATGTCCTCTAGGTTTTTATCATTAATCTGATGGAATTGTGTCATGGTGTTTGAATTGATGTTAGGTGGACATAGGGACAACACATTTGCTGTTCCTGATGCAGAGGCACTGACTGCTTGTCTGATTTTCTGAATTTTGTCAGTGAAGAAGGAGCTAAATTCATTGCAGGCCCTGGTGGATAGAAATTCAGAGGCTACTGACACTGGGGGGTTAGTTAGTCTGTCGACGGTAGCAAACAAGGTACGTGCGTTGTTTTTGTTTTTGGTAATGATGTCAGAGAAGAACGATTGTCGTGCGTTTTTCAATTCCAAATTATAAAGGCCAAGTCTCTCTTTATAGATTTCAAAGTGAACCTGGAGATTTGTTTTTCGCCACCTGCGTTCAGCTTTTCGACACTCTCTTTTCTCTGTTCTCACGCTCATGGCCTTTCTCCATGGAGATATTTTCTTCCCAGTCACTTCCTTTAACCTAGTTGGAGCAATGGCATCTATAACATTTTTAATTTTTGAATTAAAATGATCTACTAGCTCATTTACTGAGATGTTAGCAGGGGCAAGTGTGGAAGAGAAATTCTGAGTAAACATTTCCCTAGTATTTTCAGTTAAATATCGCTTTGTGGTTACCTCTTTTTGAACATTTTTGTGAACAGAAATAGCGCTCTCAAAGAAAACACAGGAATGGTCAGAGAGTACAACATCAGTCACCACAACCTTAGAGATATTCAGACCCTTTGAGATAATTAAGTCCAGAGTGTGCCCCTGATTGTGCGTGGGCACCGTCACATGCTGAGTCAGTCCATAGCTATCAAGAACACAAAACAGTTCTTTAGCCCCTCTGTCCTGGGGGTTGTCAACATGGATGTTAAAATCACCAACAATGACTAGACGGTCAAAGTCAATACACACTATAGACAGCAGTTCAGTAAAGTCATCAAAAAAGCTTGCACAGTATTTGGGTGGTCTATAGATATAGGGTATCAGGAGTTTACAGTCTTTAGCACTCACATCTGCTCTACACTGAACATGAAGCATTTGTTTTCAAAACTTAGATCGTAAAAAGACACTTTGGAAATGATGAAGACCTTTTTGAACATTAAAGCCTGTATACACGTCACAGTGGAGGCACAACATATGAATATGATCCATAATAGGGCCCCTTTAGAGACAGTTTAATAAATCTAAGTTGTGTTTTATTTTGTAGTTTCGGGAATTTGGAACAATATCGATGATTATTTTCATGTTTTAAAACGTCTGGAAAACTGCCAATTGCATTTGACACACAATCCAATCCACTTTATTTCTATGGCACATTTAAAAACAACAGAGTTGAACAAAGTGCTGTACATCATCAACTGTATAAAAAACATAGCATAAATACATAAAAAACAGACAGGACATGAAACAAATGTAAAACACGAGACGATGAAACCAGATCAGAAGCCACAGACTGAAAAACTCTCCTCCAAACAATACAAAACACTAGTAAGATAAAAACCCAAATGTAAAAGCACAAGTCGGGACTGCGGATGGAAATGAGCTCAAAGCTAAATCTGGCACTGTTACGCTTGACACATTTTTAAAGTTTTAAGTATTCATCGCCAATTAAATGATTAAATGAAAAAAGTGCCATGCCTGGTCTGTAAATGCAAGGGA